ATCCCAGAGAATGCTAGAAATGTACACCATAGAAAGAACGTCTGCAAAACGCCCATGGTTTATACACACAGCTTTCTGTTTAAACACAGCTTGGACAAAACCAGAAGCATTGTCAAAATCTGGTCATATGGAGGGCTGTTATTGAAGAGTATCCCAAACCAGAGGGAGTTTCAACTGCTTTTGGTACGTGGGTTTCCTCTTAGGTTATGTCCTTGTATTCAGGGTCTGTAAGAATTCAGTGCCCATGGAGGAGGAGGTGCTGAGCTCCTGTGCGGCACCGATGTCTGTGCAGCTGGGGGGGCTCTGGAATGGGGACCCCTTACCCAGCAGTGTGTGTGGCTGGCCTGGATGCTCAGGGCTGGCTCGTTTCAGGGCTGGGTTTAGCTGCAGAACACAGCGCTTATGGAACCCGTCCCACCAGCAGTCAAACAGAGAGAGAAAGGTCACAGAATCAGCCTGGTTCGGGTTGGGAGGGACCTTAAAGCTCATCCAGCTCCAACCCCTGCCACTACAGCAGGATGCTCCAAGCCCCTGTGTCCAGCCCGGCCTTGAGCACTGCCAGGGATGGGGCATACTAAAACCTGTGATGTTGTGAGCAGTTCAGCACATGCAGGTAATCACAGCACCTACTCTGCCTGGGGGTTTGGTGCTTGGTTGGTTGGGGTTTTCTCAACCCTTAATATTTGTTCCACACTCTACTGAAAGCAAAGTGGGGACTGGAAAATCACTGGCTGTAATTTGGATGATTAAATACACTAATAGGTGATGAGGCCTTTAACACAGCCCCAGTGTGTGCTTTCCTCCTTCAACTTTGCTCTCTTCTTCAGCCTACAACGACTTCTTTATTTCAAGTGATACATTTGGCATGCTGCATTGCAAATGGAAAGAAACCAAACATCATCTAGACTAAAACCCTCAATAACTGAAAAAAAACCCCAAACAACCCCAAAACCCCCATCAGAGGCAGTGTGGTTTGTGCCCACACCAAAGTGAAGCAGAAGGGTCAGGCTGGGCTCATTGCTTTCACCTGCAGTGCCTCTCCAAGCCCAGGATGTACCATCAGCCAATGGTCCTCAGTGCAGGTCACACAGGGCCTCATGACCAACACATCAGGACCAAATAACAATTAGAGCTAAACAGGATCCCCCCAGTCCCATCTCACAACTGCTTGAAACTGCAGCTGCAACCAGGTATCTGTGGTTTGCTTTTGGTTTGCTTTTGTAAACAGCTTTTATTGGGATCATCACGGGGGAACGGGAGTCAAACGTTCATGGCACTAAACCCTCCAGCTGGCAGCAGGTCCGGGATGGCTGATGGGCTTTCATGGCAACGTTGTGCTTTACAGGCTTCTCATTGAAATAAAGAAAGCACATTGGAGTTTTAACCTATGCAAGTGAAGGTCTGGAAAGGTAACGAGTCAGTTGCTCACTTGGCAGCCAGAGAGAACCTTTACAAGTGTGCAAAACCAGATGGAAACCGCATCTGGTGTCTCTGCCATGGGGAGGTCTCCGCGGGTGCAGTCGGAAGCGGTGGGCCAGCATGGGCAGTGCTCTGGGGCTCGGGTTGGAGGTGTTCTGTACATTCATGCACCTCTGCTGCAGACACGTGCTGTTGCTGGGTTAGGAAGTCGAGCAAGGATGGACAGAGCTGCAGCGGGCAGGGGGGCGCAGGCAGAACCCGCTGCCTTGATGGTGGCACTGGTCATGCCCCATGGGAAGGGAAGGGAAGGGGGGACATTCAGATCCAGGCTGTGCAGCCGAGCGGGCGTCAGGCCCCAAACTGCCCCTGCAAGGAGGGGAAGGGGCTGAGCTGAGGCACCAACCCCATCAGTGCCTGTTCCTGGCCAGCCTGCCCCATCCCGCCCCAGCACAGGGACCCCCGGGCAGTGAGCTCCAACAGCAGCAGCAATGGGGAATGAGCTCGATGGGGAACACAAACCCAAGGGCACGGTGCCCACAGCCAGGGCTTGGGCTTAGAGCTGGGCACGTATGGCAAGAGGCATTGCCATAGGGATGGCAATTGGTGTTCAGTCACCTGGTTTTGGTGGGGTTTGGTCTGTGAGAGGCTAAGGTGCACTGGAGGCAGTGCAGCCCTGCCATGGCACCAGAAGGAGCTGCATGGCCATGTCCCGTCCTATTGCAGCCATCCCACAGCCGCCAGCACATCCTTCCCTGCCTCCCGGCACAGCTCCGAGTGCTCCTCACATCGATGCCGTAACAGAAGAACATGAGTCGGGTGATGAAGTTTGGGTACCCCGAGGGGATCCCGGTGAAGGAGGGAGGTTTTTGGCGCAGTTTTGCTCTTGTATTGACAAACCCCATCAAATGCAACCAACCTGCACCGTCGGGGCGGGTAATGTTAAACACAGTCCTCCTGCTCTCACAAGGTCATTTGTCACCGGGGCTCAGCCACGTCCCACCAGCACCAGCGGAGACTCGCTCACTAGTTGCGGTATTGGTATAAAAAGTTAAAAGCCACGGGGTGCCTGCGGGTGTCCGTCCCGTCCGTCCCATCCCGTCCCTCCGGGGGCCTGGGCACCCCTTGCACAGCACACGGCCAGGCTGGGCATCACCGTCCCCTGGGGCACCCATGGGCAGCAGCAGCAGCGGCAGCGGCCGCCTTCCCCTCGGCCGCCGTCCTCATCCTCACCCTGTCCCGGGCAGGGGCCGCTCAGAGCTGGGTCTCGTCGCGCGTTTCGGGGTTGCAGGGCCCCACTTTGTTGCTGTAGCTGCTCTTGCGGCTGTGGCCGTCGTTGGCCACGTGGGCCAGGGGGTCGGAGCGGATCAGGTACCTGTGGGGCACGGCTTGGTTACATCAATGGGAACCCCCCCACACTTCCCCATCAGCACCAGGGAGCTGGGAAACCCCTAAACCGGGGTCTGGCCCATCCTCAAGGATGGGAAATGGGGGGATGCGCCATGGGGCTGTGCTCAGCAACAAAGAGTTATTTGTCCTTCTGCTGCACAGCGGCAAAAGCAAAGGGAAAACCTTGACACCGAGAGTCAAACCGCGATGAGTAAAGCTGGGGCAGCTTGGGCACTGCTTGGGAACGGATGGAACAGGGACAGCCTGGGAAGGAGGCAAAACCCCACTGGTCTTTATGAGAAAGGATGAAAGCAATGCAATGGGGGCAGGCCTGGGGGCACAGGGGGAGGCTAAGAGGAGATGGAGGCAACACCTACACGATGTCGTTGAGCTCCAGGCGCGTGTCCGGAGGGGGATTGATGAGGACGTAGGACAACGTGTTCTGGTGGTCGTTCATCTCATCTGCGAGACAAAGGGAAAGGGCTGGTGAGGGGTGCCCTGAAGGACACCCCATGGCCTCGGTCCCACAGCCCCACTGCAGCATCCCCGAGCACCCGGCTCTGAGGGATCGCAGCTCATTCCCAACACAGGGCATTGCCACAGGAAGAGCACCGAGAACACTGCTGCCACCTCCCTCCACGCCTCCCCAACCACTGCCCCCCAGCCGCACGGCTGGCAGATGTAACTCTCCAAAGTCCCTATTTTCCCCCATAAAAAAGTAAGTTTTCTTACCTTGGTTTAGTGCAAAAAAGGGAACAGGTTAGTCTTGCCACGTTAGCTCTAGCACAACGAGTCCAACCACTGGCTCAGGGCCGCCAAACCCCCCCCCAGGCCGCTCTGCCCGCTTCTCCCCTTCTTGCACTACTGAATTTAGCATCATCCAGCATCAGGCTTTAGCTCAATCACTGCTCCTGTCTCCTGCCCCAGGGAAACCACCTCCGTGGAGTTCCAGAGCCATCGATGCCACTCAGGGATGGCTCTAAACTACAGTGACCACCCGGGGAAGGGCTCAGGGCCACCCATGGGTGCTGCAGGGGCAAAGGGGTGGCCCCAGGGCCGAGGGAGGGGTGTTGGGGGGGGGAGGCTGTGCTTTCCAAAATAGCTGAGAACAAGATCATAGGTGAAATGAATGGGGGTGCAAGGCTGCGGGCGGCCGGGGAGGGGGAGCGCTGCGACGAAGAACACCATTTACAGATGGATGTGGGTGGACAGGATGGAGAGGGGATGGGCAGACACCAGGGGCAGCATGAGCAGCACGGTGGGACGCCAGCTCGCTGCAAGGCTGTCACTGGGACACCTCTTGGGCTGTCAGAAGGGTCCCTCTTGAGCAGCATCGGTGCACAGGCGATGGTTGCTGGTCTCAGACCAGCACTCTGGTGCTCAGTTTGGAGCTCAGTTTGGTGGCAGCAGGACCAGGAAGTGGCCACTGGGAGAGGGGCTGCTCCCACCACCCCATCCCTGCTCTCCCCCTGCCCAACACACAGCAGGACACAGGATGAGTCTCCAGCCATAACAGCACCCATGGGTGCATGATCACCCCAGGCACAAGTCAGCTGCTCTTCAGCCTCAGAACTGGGGCAGAACCTCTGAAATAGGGTTTTTCTATAGCTGTGCAATGAGCTCAAGCCGCTGCAGCCACAAGGCCTGGCACCCAGCACAGGGATGCAAAAAGGCCCCCCCATGCGTTCGGCCAGTGCATGTCCAGCTGGGTCCCAGGGCATCCCTGCAGCTGGACCGCACACAGCAGAGTTTGCAGGGGGACATGAGACCCTTGTTTTGCTGCTCTGACACCTCCCAGCACCTCCAAGCCCACAGACGGTGCCTGATGGTGGATGGGACCGCAGGGAGATGCTGTACCAGGGTGCTGGTCCAGCCCTGGGTACCAGCCAGTCCCTCGAGCTTTGTCCATCCCAGTGCTCATCCTTACAGCGAGGCGGGGACAGGGGTGGCGATGCTGGGGTGCGGGTGGCACACACAGACCCTGGGACCGGGCGGGACACACGGGGTTTGACATGAGGAGGGAGGTGGGAAGGGCCCTGGCTCGCGGCAGGTTTCCCTGCTCCATGGAAGCACCTTTTCCTGACCCCCATGCAGCCAAGCCAGGCACTGCAGAACCCACCAAGTATATTGCCATGGGGTCCCCTGCGGCACAGCGGCGGGGCTCAGCCCAGCAACCACCGGGTTTATTTGGGGTGGGGGGGGAGCCAGCGCTGAGCTCCAGCTCCTGCACCGGGAGTGATGCCACAACATCGGGTGTTCACCCACGGGGGCTCCTGGTTTGGGGTGATTTGATGGTGCTGGACCCTCTGTGGTGCCCACTCAGCCCCAGCTCTTCTGCAGGATGGGGAGATGCCAGCGGGGTCCGAGCTCTGCCCAGCACCCACCACCCTGCTGGCAATATACTGTGCTGGTGTGGGGCTTCCATGAGCCCCGGCTGGGGCTGCTTCTCTGATGAAGGACAGCTCGTAGGAAAATGCCAACTTTTCACCTTAAGCACGGGTTAGTGAAGCCTAAAACACAGCAAGAACCCGGCTACTGCTAACCTCTAACTGCTGCAGTAAAACGGGGCCTTTCCAGGGCACTTTACACCACTTTGAGTGCCTTTACACTGTGTAAATGATGCAACAACGCTGCAGACACCAACAAGGTGCTTGGGGTGGCTGCAGCATGGGCAGTGCCCGTGAGAGCCGCTGCTGGGTTAGAAAACAGGGTTTGCTAATGCTAAAGAACACAAGGCAAGGATTGTGAAGGGCTTTCCAAATGCTGCCTGGACCCTGAGCTGTGCCTGACCCATGTGGGGTCAAGAGGAGAAGGGGCTGGTGCAGCAGCATCTCATCACAGCCCACAGCAGCAGCTCCGCTGTGCTCAGCCCCCCACAAATCCCCTCCTCAAGGTGCCCCTGGCTTCACAGACCAAAACGAACTCGCAGAGCGATGGAGGGGGGGTTCTTTTAACGACAGCCTAAGGCTGCGATTTCCCTGCAAGAACTCAGCTAGAACAGGGTCCCTGAGGCTCTTATCTCCACGGCTTCGTGGAGCCCTGTTTGCGCCTCCGTTCGGGCTTTTGTTTTCCGAAACAAACCAATCAGTGCTTGAAAGGCTCGGGGATCTAAGGTGAAAACCGGCAGGGGTGTGTGGTTTGGGCTCAGCTGGCATGATCTTGTTGTACGCTGCACGCCGTGAGTCACGCGGGACTCCCAGGGAAAGGGAATTACCTTGCAAATATCCCAGGTTTACCCGATTCATCACATCACTGGCTGTTAAATTTGCTACATCCTCTACAGAACATACAGGGAAAGGCACAGACATAAACAGAGAGAGAGAGAGAGGTCAGCAAGCCATGGTTCGGCAAATATCAGAGACGAGCTCCTGCACTGCAGCAATCAAATGAGCAAAAGAAAACGGAAAGGAGCAGAAGGCAGAGCAACGGGGTCGTCCATAAACGCCATGGGTGTCCAGACACTGACGGTGACACACGCTGACAACGCACATCCCAGCACAGCTGTGCCGCAGGGGTTATGGAGATGCTGGTCCCCCCGCTGTGCCCAGCGCCCCGATCCCGGCCACGCACTGCCCTCCCATCCCGACGGGAGACGGGTCCTGCATTCCCCGCCCCTCCTCCGCTGCCTCCTCGACTGCTGGAGCTTCCCTGGGTCGCTCCAACCGAAATACGCCAGGGGAAGGATGCAGCTTCGAGCACTGCCCCAGCCAACAGCGCCGGAGCATCCCTGCCGGGCTGGCTGCAGGCGGCCCCTCGGGATCCTCCATTGAAGTCATTCAGGCAGAGGAGCTGCCTCTGCCTTCACCCCTGCCTGTGTTTGGTGCACAGCGGCTCTTGCTTCAGGCGCATGGGCTGTGCTTCCAGCGCTCCCTGTCCCCCCGCTCCCCACACTGTGTGAAGCAGCTCTCTTAAGGCGGTGAATGGCGTCAGCCGTGCTCCAGACTCTGCAACAGAGCCGCAGGGAGCTGGAAGTTCCCTAGGAAAAGCAGCAGCAGCTTCTGGGACTCATAATGTAGGAACAAAAGAGAGGAGCGGGATAAACCACTGCGAGCCTGGAGTGCCCTGAGCCCCTCTGCCCTGCTGCAAGCCAGCTCTCCAGCCTTGCTCCCTATGGGGCCGGCCAGTGCCTGATGCCATATGCCCTGCACTCCAAACCCCCCTTGTGCCGTGTTTCTTTACATTTTCTCCCCTCTTTCATGTACCTCAGGGGCTGTAAGGGAGAAGCCGGAATGGGGAAAGGAGGAATAACCCCCCCAGCCTCCCGAAATGGGCTCCCATCCCGGCCAGGGCATGGTGCCAGCCTGCAAGCGAGCAGGGACAGACGGACAGTCCTCGAGAATGGAGCGAACAGGCGGCAGCACAGGATGGCTTAAAAGAAAGAAAGGAAAAACCAAAGCAGAACCAAACCAAGGAAGCTGCAGGCTACAGTGTTGTAACCAAGGAGGGGGGGATCATCTGGGGGGACACAGACACCAGCACTGAGCGGGTGAGAAGCTTCACGAGAAATGCAGCTGCACGGAGGGACCCTGAGGGCTGCAGATGCCCCGGGGCCATGCAGGCTCGTCGCAGCCAGACATCGGTTTCGCTCGCACACAATGAAGCAAACCACTCATCCCTGCAGCTACCGAAAGGTTTTCCATGGAAGAGTTTTAGGAAGGATTCAAGTCTACAACAAACGGGGTCTGCGCCAGCTGATGGGGCTCCACTTCTCCCTGCTGCATTAAGGGGTTTCTGGGGCAGGAGGGGTTAGCTGACCTGCAGGCAGCGTGTCCTGAGCCGCCAGAAAGCGGGGGGCAAGCGGGGCATCGCCCCCCAAGGCTGCGCGGTGGCACCCGGTCCCGCTGCAGGCACAGGGGCCAGAGTCACTCCTGACGCTGCCTGGACCGGTCCCAGAGCCCCCCATGGGGGTGGCAGGCGAGGGGGGCTCCGCGCTGCAGGGACCCCAGCCTTGAGCAGAAGCATGAGCAAGCGGGGGAGTGAGGCACTGCTTGAGCCAAGCCCGGCAGCGCCTGCGGGGTTAGGCTTGGGGAATAGGCTCGGCACGGGGTTAGGCTTGGTATGGGGTTGGGTTCAGCTTCGGGTTAGGTTTAGCTCGGGGTTAGGCTCGGCTCGGGGTTACCTGAGGAGCCCACGAGAGGGACGCAGCCCCGCAGAGAAGCGCGCCCGCACGGCACTTACCGTACCCGGTCGTGGGCAAGCCCAGGTGCTTCATGCGGTTCTTGACGAGCTCGGAGAGCTCCTGGCGCTCGGAGCGCCGGTACAGGCTGAGGCGCTGCTGGCTGATCCACTCGGCCGTCTTGCTGGAGTGCTTGTTGCCCTTCCTGCTCAGCCGCCGGGCCCACTGCATGCTCTTGCGCCGCAGCAGCGGGTGCTCCGACTGGTCGCTGGAGCACGAGTTGCGGTGGTGGCCGGTCTTGATGCCCCAGTGCTCCTTGACGTCCTTTGTGTCCTCGCAGTCCTCCACATTGATTGAGATCTGTGACTGGAAGCCCAGCAGGTCACGGAGGGCAAGGGGGGAGCTAGAAAGGGCCGGTCCTGGGTCTGATGGGGTGGGTGTCTCCCTTGGGATGGGATCCTCCCTCTGACACACACGCACTCTCCCAGCACATCATCTCTGTGCCGCTAGAGCTGCCCGGGCATCAGACATGGGAGAAGTGGAAACTAACAGGCAGCTGGTATCCTTTACACCATTATATCTGCCCTTGCCTTCCTCTCCTTCACCTTACAGTAGCCATGCTGCTGCATCTCCAATACAGCAATCCCACCGGAGAGCAGGAATTTATTAATGAAGTGGTTTAAAGCATCTCTAAGGAAGAGGTGGATGGCATTTAATTAAATGGCAACTTTGGGCTCCCTGTAGCTACTTCCCACAAAGCTGAAGGATTTACAGCAGAGCCTGGCTCACTCCCCTGCTCCTTATCCCAGTTAATTACACTTCAGGGCATCAAGGACTTTGGCATTCCCGGACTGCTGATGCTCAGCTGGCATCACCCTTCCATGGGGACAGGCAGTGCGGTGGCTCTCAGTGGCCAGAGGAGCTGCTGGCACAAGCCAGACCATTGCTTGCCCACAGGGCAGCCTCCAGGTTGGGGGGGCAAGGAGGCATCGCTGGCAGCCAGGACAAAGCCCAACACCAGCCAAGCACCCGAACGCGGACGGCACTCACCTGCGTTCTGATGTCGTGGGGCTGCAGTAGGGAAAAGGAAGGAAAACCAAAGTGAGCCCAGCAAAGGGGCAGCCCCACTGTGCCACATCCCCCTGCTCCCCACGGACTCAGTGCCATGCAGCATGGCAGAGCTGTGCCAAGAAAATCCCCCTATCCACCCGCAGCCAGGCTGCTGCCTGGAGAACTGGCGCTCACATGGACCAGTGTATCGGGGTGGGAACCAGGACACCACCACCACCACACAGACACAGAGCCACTCTGGGAACCAGGACACCACCACAACCACGTAGAGAGAGCCACTCAAGAAACAAAGGCAGAGCTTCCCTTCCCCTTGTTCCTCCCCACTGATGCTGCACACAGGTCCAAGGGCCCCATGGACCTGGCCAGCCCCATGGGCCACATCTCTGCTGTGTGGTGATGCTCAGCCTGGACCACCAGCAGCCCCTTCCAGGCACACACCACTGCCATGCCCCTACCTCAGAGGTTGCAAACATGTGTGACTCTGTCCTGTAAATCCCAATTGGAATCTCAGCACTGGAGGAGCAGAGCTTCTGGAAGAGGCGGCCGTAGGTCCGGATCCACAGGTCATCTTCAGTGATCTTCATCTGAGCAACAGAAGACAAACATCAGCCATCCTGTGCCATGTAAAGCCACCTGAGGAGCACCTTGGGGTTGCTCCTGAGCTTTTCCCCACCTCATCCCTTTCAATCCCAAAAGTGAAGATCCATTGAAAGACCAGGGGCAATTTCCAACCTTCAAAACAAGGACTTTGGTCCTTGGCAGCTCTTGGGCTTTTGTACTTTTGGTAGCACTGAGGTTCTCCACACACAGTGGAAGGGGAGCAATGACCTGGCAATGCTGCCTACCCCCCATCTTCCAGGGTGAAGATGGGAACCCTCCATCCCCACGCACAGGCTGACAGATCCCACCAGATCTGTGATGACTTGGCCTGATGGTTTCAATGCTGAGGACTTGGCACCTACCGCACAGAGGTACCCGGAGCCCGGCGTGGTGTCGAGGCCCAGCAGCAGCCGAGTGATGGTGATCATGTAGTCCTTCACGAACGACTGCGGGGAGACGTTGGGCAGGAACCCAGAGGAAAGGCTTGCTCAGTTATGCACTGGGGGATGCAAAGGGGTGGCCGCAGCTGCAGGGTGCAGCACACAGAGCCCGCAGGGTTCTTACCTGGTAGAGCAGCGTGTCCAGCATGCTGATGCTGAAGACCCTCCCGGCGGCGAAGGGCAGGCGGAACATGAAGGCCAGGTTGGAGCCATTCTCTCGCTCTTTCTGGAGGAGGAATGGGAGATGTGAGCACCCACAGGGGCTTGTTCACATCCTCCAGGGCATTTAGCAATGGGTTGGGGTTTTCTGACATGGGCTGAATGCCCCAGTGTGTGGTTCAGGGGTGTTTTCTCCCTTGTTGGAAGATCAGCAAGGTGACTTCACTGCCTCCCCTTACTGCAGTCACAGCATTAAGCCTGATGCAGAGGCCCAGCACAGCAGTAGTACAAACCCCCACCACTGAATAAATGCATAAATACATAGAAGGAGGTAATGAGCCCAAAGATCAACTGCTCACTCATTTTCTGCAGGCTATCTCAGGTAGATGCCCACTGCCTGTGGTAGCTGCAGCATGCAGAAGAGTACAGGACTTTGAGGAACAAAACCGCAGTCACTCCCAGCATTGACTTCCCAGGCCCCATGTGCAGGAGAAGACTTTCTCTTACCTTCTCCAGCTTGGAAAGGGCAAGAGAGTAACTGTCCTTCGCTCTGAACTGCATGAACCTCATGTTGGAGGGGTGGGTCAGCTCCGTGATGATGCTGAGGCTGGGGAAGAGCCTGCAATGGAAAGAGACCTGTTTTCCTGTTTTCCTGCAGCTTACTCAGAAGTGAGAGCGTTCCATGTATTTAAAGCCTGAGGAAGACCAAACCCATCCCTGTACCTGTCTGAGGTCAGAAAGAGCTGATTAGATGCTGTTTCCCAGAGCAAGTCCACCCACAGGTGAGTCCCACTGCCCATAGCCACCACCCCGGCCACCAGCAGCCTTCCCAGTCTTGCCTACAGCATAGCTCAGTGGCCATGCAGGAGCCAGGGCAGTGCTCGCCCCTCACCTGAACATGGTCTGGACATTGACAATGGTCTTCGCATCTGCCATGTAGTCCTCCTCGGCGCTCATGGTGCTCTCCTTGTCCACAACCACCAGGTTGTCGGCGTAGATGATGCCGCACTGCAGCAAGCTGTCCAGGCTGGGCAGTTCCCAAAGAGAAGAGCGCAGGGTCAGCCCTTGGAAAGGACACAGGGAAGCAGCACGCTGCGACTGCAGCGCTACAGCAAGCCCAGGCTGCTCCCAACCACCAGCTCTGCGCTTGCTCCCATCTACCAAAGGGGTTCGACAGCCCACGAAGCCAAGGGTGGGCTCAGCTCTATGGTATCAGCCCTGGGGCTTCTCGTGGGATGACCCAAAAGTGTGGGTTGGGGTAAATTCAACACATTGAGGCAGTGCCAGAAGTTACAAGGGACGTGAGTGGAAACACTTACTTGTCGATCGTGCCCTCCATGTAGTAAACCATGGGGAAACAACAGATGGCTTCCAGAAAGTGGTGCTCAGGCCTGGAGGAAGAGCAACAGAGAGCAAGGTGCTTCATCAAGTCCATGGGGTAAAGACAGGCACAAAAACCCACACAGGAGTTCCCAGGGCCAACGTAAGCCAAGATACCCAACAGCGGCACTGCCATTCCCCCACGCATCCATCCCCACAGTGTGAGATGCTCATGAAGTCACAGGGGAGGGCTCAGCGCGATGGAAAACACCCATGGAAAAGTACTTGCTTGTTGTCCAGCAGCAGCACAATCGGGTTCAGCTCTTTGCGGGACCGATAGTACGCGCGAAGGGGGACAATGAAGTTATAGAGCCCGTTCCCGGCCGTCTCTGCCGAAACGATAATCAGTTTGTTCTTAAACCCGTAGGCTTTGGCATCTTCAAAGCTGTTGTGCTTGCAGCCCTGTGCGGTGGAAGGCAGCGCAGGGGCTCAGCGTGAGGCTCTCACCCCCCTGCCACGCACGGAGCCGTCCCATCCCATCCCAACCCGACCCGGGGGGCTGCAGCCCCATTGTACCTTGTCCAGCCTCAGGCAGCAGAATGGGGCCTTCTCCGGTAAGAGGTGGCACAGAGTGGGGGAGCTCCCGATGTAGGGGGAGTTCGGGGGGTAGCCTTTCACGTACCTGCAGCAGAGACCAAACCCAGCAGCGTGAGGACATGGGGGGAGCTTGCCATAGGAGCAGCCCTCAGGTGCTGGGAATAACGTTTAGGAACAGCAGCCCAGGATTCAGCACCTGGGAAATGCTCCACAACCCCCCCTGCAGCAGCTGGAGGTTTCCCAAAATGCACCTATTTAGGAATGGGTTTTGCCATACAGAGGGTTATGAGATTGTAAGTAAGCAGTGCTCCCAGCAGAGGGAAGAAGGCAGCAGATTAAGCACCATTAAGCATTGTTTGAGGGAGGCAGAGCAGTGAGCTCCGGGAGAGGAGGGTAATGCTGAGCCACATGGAGAAACAAAACCACCTCATGGCCCAGTTTTAGAGCTCGTTTTGGTAAACAGATATTTTAAAAATCACCATTTGCATTTCTAATGGAACCAGAAGCTGAAATTTTCCTTTAAAGAACAGCTAAAAGTGGACCTGAATAAAAGCTGATTTGTGAGAGTTTGCAGTAAACTCCCCCCATGGCTGTGACAGCATCCAACAGGTAAGCAGTAAAGCAAGTGCTTGTCTGGCTGCCATAAACTGACAGCTTTAAAGGTTTATTTTGTGAGGGTTTATTTGTATGCCATGGAGAATAGAATCCCTTTCATGTCAGTGAGTGAGGGGAGGCGAGAGGACTGATGGGACAACCTGCCCATCCCCAGCAGCGTCTGCCTTGGTGCGACTTCACGGGTACCCAGAGGAGGTGTTTCCAGGGCACCCCAAAAGCAGGGATTGCCCATGTTGCACATGTTCATGTGCTCAGGCAAAAGCTGAGAGGGAATGAACCCCAGCACCCCTAAGGCGCTATCAAACACCCATCATTTACAATGATCCTGATCTCTCTGAAATCAATAAGAGTCTTAGAATGGTTTGGGTTGAAGGGACCTTAAAGCTCACCCAGCCCCATCCCCTGCCACGGGCAGGGACCCCTTCCACTGGAGCAGCTTGCTCCAAGCCCCTGTGTCCAACCTGGCCTTGAGCACTGCCAGGGATGGGGCAGCCACAGCTCCTCTGGGCACCCTGTGCCAGCGCCTCAGCACCCTCCCAGGGATGGAGCGAGGACCAGCCCGACCGCAGGCGGGTGACTCACTCCACGACCGCCGACCCCTCCTCGTCCGACTGCGTCATCTCATCCTCCGACTGGTCGCTGAGCAGGTCGCAGGGCAGCAGGGAGGAGGTGTCGGCCAGCTCGAGGACCGGCGCGATGCTGGGCCGCCGGTTGCCGGAGCCGTTCTCCGCCGGCAGCGCCAGCTTGCTGCTGTTAGCGGGGCGGCACTCCGTGTTCTGCAGGTCCATGGCCACTGTACCTGGACACGGTGGGAGGGAGGCACAGCAAACGCGCTATAAGGCGGTGAAGAGCGCTGAGTCGGCAAAGCATCGTGCCCTTGAGCCCTGCCTGGTAAATACAGCCCGGAGGAAGCTGAACCATCCATGGGCACAGGGAGTGCAGGCAAAGCACCCAGCAGTGACCTCCACTTGGGCACTGCTGTGTGGAGCATCTCCCTGGGGCACAGCTCCTATAGTGGGTGCAGGCTGCTGGCCCTGGAGACTGTCACCTCCACTGTCCCCCTGCAGTGGCCACCTCCATTAGGCTGGCTGCACTGCTTGCCCACCTACTGCAAAACCTGGCTTTATAGCAGTTTATTATTCAGCTGTACCTCAGGGAGGACACCCATCCAGCCTCACCCCGCTTTGCAGGCTCTGGGAGACACCAGCCAGGTTAGGAACAAGCTGATGCCACTGTGTCTGCCCTTGCTGGGAAGCTGCCCTCCCCATGGACACCCCTTTGCCCCCATCATCCTCAAGCTCCCTAGGAGAGGCAGGCAGGCAGGCAGCCTCCAACACAGCACAACACCCTCCTCCACTTCCTGCATCCCTGCTGATGAGCTCTACATCTTCACCCAGGACAGGAGAGGCCTCCCCATCCTGTCCTCCTTCCAAAACTCAAACGTATCTATGGAGCTGTCGCGAACACTGAGGCACCCGTGCCATTTCCCTCCCTCTCAAAGGTCCCTCTGCAAATGACCCGTGTAAGGAGAACACTGGCAAACGCTGTTGAGCACAGGCTCTGCGCCTTGCCGGGGATAATCAATGCAAATTGCTGCTCATGAGTACAAACGCATAACTTATTTGCCTGAAATACGATCTGCTGGTGCAGCTCAGCCGCCCCAAAACCCGCTCTGCCCAGAGACAAGCTGCAAGTAGTGACTCATGGTGTTTTTTATGGGAGGGAATGCACCACTCGCTGCAGAGCAAACTGCGCTCCTCGTCGGGCTGTGAATCACGGATGTGATTTAGGATGTGGCCACCGGCATTCATTCTTCCAGCCAGGGCTTGGGGGGGGGTATGCAAATACTGTTAATAATAACGGACATCAATCTTTAATAATGATATCTGGGCTTGCTGAGAGCAGCCTGGGAGCAAGGAGCAGGGTGTATTTCAGTGGGGAGGTGACTGTGGAAGGAGATGGAGTGTGCAGGCTCCTGCCCCATTCTGGGGACCCTCACTCCCCCCCTGTCCCACCAGCTCACCCATGCTGGCGATGATGCTGTGCACAGGCAGGCGGGATGGGCCGTCATAGGTTCCTCTCCCAGCAAAGCCCTTCTTCTTCTGCTTCTCCTCCTGCTTGAAGATGAAGGCAGAGTTCTCCTCCTTGGTGATGTTGATGTAGAAGCAGGTGTCGGATGCTGCCATGATGTGCCGCGGGCCGGGGTTCAGCAGGATGCTCTTGTTCTCCTCTCTCCGGATGCCGATCAGGCAGACTCCGTACCTGTTCCAGGAGCACAATGTGAGCATTCACAGCTGGAGAACAGCCCCTTTGAGGCTTTGTCCCTGCACAAAAGACCTCACAGCGCCCTCCAGCCCCAGCCCTGACCCCCAGGGATGCAGAGTGCCAGATACACCACATCCACCCCCCGCTCTCACTTCTTGTGTGCGTGGAAGGCGGCGTAGGTGAAACTCTTCCCTTCGTACTCCATGAAGAACTTGCTGTCGCCCATCCGGATGTGGTAGACCTCATTGCCCGAGCAGCGCCCGTACATCCGCTGCCACTGCTCCGGGGACTCCTGGCCCTCCCTGCAATGACAGCAGCGGCAGCGTGCGGGGATGGACCCCCCGATGGTGCCGGGATGGGAGCCGCGGGCGCAGACCCCGTTACACCATCCATCTCCCGACAGCGGGGGTGCTCATGAGCACTGAAGCGGATTGAGCCCAGCAGCAGTGAGATCGCAGGGCCGTGCCACCGTGAGCTGTCGGAGCTTGCAGCTCATTTCCATTGCTGATTTTAAGCGCCTTTTTATTCAATGAGGGCTCCGGGGGGTGCAGAGGCAGGGCTCAGAGCCCCTGTTGGCAAACAGCTCCGAGCACAGGGAAGGAGCCGCCTGGCAATGATGTTTTATAACTCTTTTGATGGCACTTCACCCAAACCGCAGACATTTGTGACTGGCCAAGGAGCTCGGGACCCACAACACCGCTGTGTACGGACCTGCACACAGCCTGCAGGGGGGCGTTTGCACGAGCTGCGCATTAACCCTCCCACCAGCAGGACCATGCCGGTATAACGAAGACATTTCAGTTCCCAGTCCCTGGAGAGCTGGTGCTGGCAGCCCGTCTGCACTGCTGTGCTCCCCCTGCAATATGGGCTTCTGCTCCCGACCTGGATCAGGGTCCCGGGTCCCCACTGGGCTCTCCTAGACCCATGCCAGATCCTCACCCTCTCCCCCTGGGCCCAGAGCATAGGCAGGCAGGGCAGGCAGGGGCAGGCAGGGGCAGGAAGGGGCAGGCAGGGCAGGAAGGGGCAGGAAGGGGCAGGCAGGGCAGGAAGGGGCAGGAAGGGGCAGGCAGGGCTGGAAGGGCAGGCAGGGCAGGAAGGGGCAGGCAGGGGCAGGCAGGGCAGGAAGGGCAGGCAGGGCAGGCAGGGCAGGCAGGGGCAGGCAGGGCAGGCAGGGCAGGCAGGGCAGGAAGGGGCAGGCAGGGCAGGAAGGGGCAGGCAGGGGCAGGCAGGGCAGGAAGGGCAGGCAGGGGCAGGCAGGGCCGGAAGGGCAGGCAGGGGCAGGAAGGGGCAGGCAGGGGCAAGCAGAGGCAGGCAGCACTCACTGGCCACGGGATGTATGCACCAGGAGGGTGATGAGGGTGGAGGTGGCGGGGCAGACGCAGTTGAGCGCCAGCATGGCGTATTTGCACTCCTCTTCACAGACGACGTGATCTGAAAGGCAGAGGGGGTTGATGCAGACAGGAAAACAGGGACAGGCAGACACCATAGGAATGGCAGACAGCATCCCACAGAGGCCACACTGCTGCCATGTGTGGGGTTCACACACTGATCCAGGCTTTAGTGTGCATCGTGATAACGGGGCTGCCAGCCCCTTGCAGCACACAGGAGAAGCCTGTCCTGAGCTAATTCTCTTCCTGCACAGCCCCTTCAACTCACCGGCAAACTTGACGTGGAACTTGTTTTCAGGCTTCAGAATCTGAACATAGAGGGGACAGTTTGGAGCAAAATCTTTCACAGCCCAGGCCCTCAGGATGGTCTGGTGATCCTACCGAGGAAAAGAGCAAAAGCTGTTTGTCCGATGGCTTATTTCCCCCAGTGCTTCTGCACCAAGGATGAAACGCAAAGCTCCCGGCCACCATGGAGATGTATGGCAAAGGGTCCTCCAGCACCCCAGCGGGGGATAGCTGCCCTCTCCTGCTCCCCAAAACCCAGCACTGGTGGGAAACTGGGACAGCAGAAAGAAGATGAACCCACAGGGGCTCAGCTCTCAACCCCATGCTCTCACTCCAGCTGCCTCCCAATGCCCTCCTGTGCTGGGCAGAGGGGAGACGCAGCCATTACCCCGCTCCCTTATGGCCGAGACATGAATGATCTCCGACCATGCCACCCCCAGGCCTGGCTCACCGCCGCGGTGCGGTCCACCTCGTTCCGGCTGCTGAGGATGAAACAGGCTTCTCCATTGTCCATCCTGCAAACAGAGAGCAGCGATTCCATGAACTGCAATGGCCAATTGCATCTGCCTGTACCAGCCAGGGCGCTGCCAGCCCCCTCTGAGACCCCAGCAAAGGCATGCAGGGACGCCCATCATCATGCATCTGGGCTGACATTACTGGGGACCCTCCCTGTGGCTCCAAGGGCTGCACAGCAGGGCCGGCCTCGCCGTGGCTGTGTGGTGTGTCCCTCAGCTCACTTGGCTCTCATGAGGTCCTGGTCCTTCAGCGCAGAGCCCTGGAGGTAGATCACTCGCTGTGACCACAGGGGGATCTGCAGGACCCGCCGCACCTGGATGTCCATCTCTGTTGGGCAAAGTATCACCACGTAGTAGTCCTGAAAGAGAGAGGCTCCCGTGGGTCGGCAGGATGGAGGCCCTGCACATGGGGCTTTGCTGCTCTGGGGTATTTGCCCCTGGTGTGTGACACCCACTGCTCCAGGGTCCTACAACGGCCTTGGGAAACACATCAGCATCATCTCCAGCATGTTCTGCATAATAAAGCCAATGCAGGCACATCTGACTATGGAACTAGCAGAGAGCTGTGTGCTCGCAGCAAAGTGGCTGCAAGGAGCAGGATTTTACAGCTTGAATGTCAAGCTGGAGTCAAGGCTGGGCTATGGTAACAAAATGTATGTGAATGAAATGCAAATCTTCAACACATCTGTGATCCTTTCATCCTGGGAAGCAGGAAAGGCACAGCCATTTGCAAGAAGATCCCTCATTATGTGAGGATACTCCAGTAAAAGCTGGTTAAACCCCATAGAGGTTTAGTGATTACATGTTCTGTTTCCATCTGAGATTGTTCATTCAGCAAATACATCTTTTACATTTAGAAAAGTCCCTGTGGTCCCTCTCCAAGCAACAGGCCTGGCCAGAACACAGAGGGAGGGGATCAGGCAGAGAGAGCCCTACCATGAAGACAGCAAAGTGAGGTGGCCCTAGGGTACCACTTGTCACCTCTCCTTGGCCAGTACAGCACACGCTGCCACATCCACTGTACTGGGCAGAGCACCCACCGCCACGCCTGGTCCTCACCTGCAGACGTGGGTGCGCATAAAACTCATTGAGGAAGTCCATGAGGAGGTCGATCTTGAGGGAGCTGACACAGAGGACGACGTGCTTCTCCGTCTGGGCACGGTGGCGGCTGTAATTGCCTCCCGACTTCTGCCGCTCCATCCACAGGTAGACGAGCTCCTCGAACTGCAAGCGAAGGCAGAGAGCTGCTGTCCCCATCGGCAGGGCTGCCCGGGCGCAGGCTCTGCATCCCTCTCCATCCTCGGGCAGGGCTAACCTGGAGCGGCAGCACGACGAGGGCGACGCAGATCATGATGACGACGAGGAGCTGGGAAGGCCAGATCTTTGGGGTCACATCTCCGTAGCCCACAGTGGAAAAGGTGACGATGCAGAAATAGAAGGACTTGAAGAGGGAGAGCTTCTCACCTGCTCTTTCTAAATGCTGGATGCCACAGGTCCTGAAGGGAGAAAGAGCACATCACAGCGAGTGCTGCCCTGCCCAGGAGACAGGCAGCGCCTGTAGCTCCTGTTGAAGGCAGTAGGGGACCCTAGAATGCAACTTAAACCCATGTCCATGGAGGAATCTGTCTGTAACAGCTGTCAGCATCAGCAGTGGATTTATGTCACCAGCAGAAGTGATTCCACTACTGACACTTAGAGATGAAGGATTTATTTTGATGTGGCTGCTCACCAGAGCAGCACTGGGAAGTCTAGGACATGGCTGATGGGTCACAGCAAGTCCGTGCCATGGAAAACATGTTGAGCATCACCTGGGAGCTGCCATTGCATTGCAAAAAACCCCAAATCATGCAAGCAAGCAGCTTTCCCAGTGAGGCTCTGGAGAGACTCATCCCACGGGAAGGGCTCTCATAAGAGAGATGTGCTCCAGCAGGCAGGAGGCAGATCCTATTCCTATGCCACTGCTGTTGGAAAGCTGTATCACAGAGCCACCTCGCTACCTGCAGTTTCTAAGTGACCTTGCTAAACACAAGCATGACCTAAGTCATCCCGTACCCAAACTGTAGCCCTGTCACATCCACCAAGACACACGACCACGGCCCTAGCAGGCAGGAGGTGCCATGGGCAGGGAGCACTGACGAGCTCTGCAGTTGCATTAGTCATTCACAAGTGAAGATTGCCTTTATTGCCAAAGACTCATGAGCCTAAAAGCTTCATTTCCTGACCATTCAGCAGCTCAGTGGTATTAGATGTTTCAAATCCAGACCGAGGGAGCCAGAGGAAGCTTCAAAAAGCCTAATTTAAAGCTAAGTACCCAGCAGTGAGAACTGGCTCTTCTGTAAAGAGCTGCCCTTGTTGCTGGCAATGCATGGGGTAAAAGGGCCAGTTAATTAGCAGGAGCCCCAGTGGCCTATTACACAAATGAGCTCTTTGTGTAGTAGGCATCTCAAGTGGTATCGTGGTGGGGAGCAGAGCGTGGTCAGAACCAAGGAGTGCAATGGGTCCTGGTGAATGAGGCATCGCACACGTCCGAGCCTGTCCCTGCAGGAAACTGCTGTCCCTGCCCTTGACCCTGCAGCACTCACAGCCCTGCTCTGTATGCAGCACCCGTCTCCCTCCAACGCCTTCATGCACGCCATTAACAGGTTTCTGTTAAAACCATATAATTAGGGATGATGACTAGTTTCTACAATACACCTTCCACTAGAGCAGGTTGCTCCAAGCCCTGTCCAACCTGGCCTTAATTATAGGGATGGGGCAGCCACAGCTTCTCTGTTATGCTTTCCTCAGTGTGCACAGACCTCTCAGACTGAAAAATCAGGCTAGAAGACTAAAAGCAGAACCTCCTCTGACTTCCCACATCACCACCTTATGCCCTGGCAACGCCACCCCACCCCAGACAAGAAGATCTCACCCCACCTCCCTCTCCTGTAAGAGCCTGGCTCCATCAATCACCCCTAGGACACGCGAAGCTGGTTTCCCTGGGTGAAAAAGGTGGTTTAGGGAAAGGAAGAGCAACGCTTACCCCGTGAAAACAAGACACAGGAGGGTGCAGATCAGAATGAGCACTTGGTTAAACATCGCAGACTGGGTCCTTTGTATGGCTCGGTGTAGGTCGTTCTGCAAGGAGAGAGGGCTCTCACCAGCTCAGAGAGGCTGAGGGAAAGTACCCCTCCAGGTACCAACCGCTGCCTCGCTGCCATCAGCAGAGCCCACCCAGATGAAGATCAGGCCAGAATGTGGCCCTTGAAAAGGGATGTGCGCTCCTATGAGCGGGTCTGGGCTCTGCTGCCAGGACAAACAACCCAAATGGGTGCATGGGAACGGCTGGAACATCTCATCCTGATGTAATACCATATCCTGGGGACAGCCAGAGGCCGTCCCTCTCAATGTGCAGCCAACAGAATCAGTGTGGCTCTGACACCAAAGGGCTCCTGTTCCACAGCGGGTCACTGCACAGCATCACCAGCTGGCAGAGCCTCACCTCCCACCAACCCCAGGGCAGGTGAAAGGGGTGGGATGCATCCGGTCACTCACAATCATGTTCTCCAGGGCATATTTGGCAAGCCAGCAGTTCAGAAACACAGGAATAAACAAATTCCTCAAAGGAGGCCAGAATATCTACAAAAGCAAGAGTTAATCACAGAAAAAAACCATGCTTTTTACAAAAATAACCCCTATGAAGAGCCAATTTGAGCCCTGTTGGGAAGGATCCATCCCCAAGCTCAGCACTGGCCTTTCCAGAGGCTGCCATTGAAAGCAGCCCCGGCTGCAGCAGAGCAGGGAAGATGGTTTTTGGGGTAACACTCCAGAGAAAGTCATTATATTGAAGACAAAATATCCTGCCAGCTTTAAATACTACTTGGCCACACCCCCATTTTTCTTTGTTTCACCACCAAAACTACAGCACTTGTTAAACTTCCCTTAAAGCTGCTTTCAAATGTCACCGGGAAACACTCACCGTGATAATAAATGGCACCGTGTTGATCATCTCCAGGATGAATGAAATGCGGAAAATCTGTTCCCAGATGTTCCCCTGAGGAATTAGAGGCAAATAATAATTAAGGAAGCTTAAAAATCTGCCAAGGGACAATTAAAAAGCTCCCACTCTGCCACAGACCCTGCTAGATGGGGGAAGGATGCCAGAGGAGCCAGGAAGATGCTCCAGTTTGCTTGTGGGAGAGAGATGCAATGCTGGCAGCAGGCACACAGGCAATAAAACGTCCCCAAACTGCTCAGTCCTTTCTGCAGCCATGACATCCCTCTGTCCATCACTGCTGCTCCCAAAGCTGGGGATGCTGCATGCAATACAGTGCATAACACGATGCTGCATGCAGGACAGAGAATGAGAGTGAGACAGATCACTGGTGACGCAGGGTCTGAGTCTCTGCTGCCAACTGTCCCAGTTGAATCTGAGAAGATGCCATTTGTTAAGGTCACTTTTCTTGGCCATTTTAAGGGGCTTTGGTCCAAAGGAGTCAGTTTGTGCCTCTCCCTGTCTGCCTTGGAGCAGTGCCTGCTACCTCCGGCGGCAGCAGACCTCAGCACAAGCAGGAGCCCTGTTGCCAAGCTCAGCTCCAGGTCCTCAGCCTTAGGAAGCTCAACATGCGTCAATCTGTCCCCCATAAAAACAGCGAGTTCTGGTAAACAGGGCTGAATTTAAAGGAAAGTGACCCCCCCGCTCTGCTCTGCACAACACTTATCCAGCAGCCTGGGGGGAATGAGGGAGGAAAACAGCCCCGGCCGGCTGAGCCATCACTGACATAAGCGTCCTCTCAGGATGCCTCAGGCTTCAGACAGCTCAAAGGAGGCGAAATGAATTCACACAGGGGGATCTGACCCAGGCAGCGCATCACTGCCCACTGCCCCCCGCAGGGCACGTACCTTGTAGCTGAGATAGATGAGCAGCATGGTCTCCAGAAAGCTGATTAAAGCTATGCTGACCTGCAGAGACAGACACCAAAGGCTGCTGAGGGCTCCTGCCATGCAGCATCAGTTATCAGAGCTCCCCGAGCCCGCCCTGCCCTGTGTCATGAGGAGCCCACGGGTATCATAGATGAGGACCTGTTTGTTCGGGTTGGACGTGTGAGCTCCAGGATGCCCTGAGCAGGAGCTGACGGGTGCTCAACCCTCTCACAAGCCATTCCCCAGCCCGTTATGGGTACAGCTGCATCCAGGCTGGGGAGGAGCTGAGCCAGCCTCATGGTTTTATCTTCCTACAGCGTTCCCTTTCCTATCCATCCCAATGATTTTCACCCAGGTGCTGTTCTCCCAGCAGAAGCCCCAGCTCATTTTGTGCTCACTGAAGATAACCCATTGCCCCTCGTTGTTTCAGCACAGGATGCACAGAGACCTGCTGGCTCCCCCGAGGGGTGGGCGCTCACCTGCACAGCCCACAGCGGCGTTTTCCTGTCCACCCAGAAGATGTGTGACCTGCATGGAAAAATCAAACCAGATCTAATCTGTAGCCCAAATAGCAACGCTCTTACCCCCACCAACACTAATATGAAGCCATCATCGAAGCAGGATCCAGCAAAGGACTGGCACTGGTGTTTGTTCCTTAGTGCGGTTTGTTCAAGCAGTAAGGAACATTTTGTGTTAATGCATAAGTGCAGCATTCATGGCTGCACAGGGAATAAATCATTCCCAGGGGTACAGCCACAAGCACTGTCAATTGCTTCAGTCCTGGGATGCTGCTGTGCATGCCTGGAGCAGCCCTGAGACCAAGAAATGGCCCCGGGCAGCTGCCAGCAGCAGCCACATCCATCACTACATCCCCGACCCAGGCAGAGCCGGACCCCAGCACCAGTACAGCTCTCGACTCACCAGTTTATCTTTGTGGACTGGTTGAACGCGGTGTAATTCTGTTTTTCACATTCCCAGCTGTAAGAAAAAGGCAAAGGAAGGGAAAGCAGTCAGTGAGGGGGAGGAAGGAGCAAGGGTGCTGGTGTTGAATCCCCAAGGCTCATGGGGTGCCCTGGCTGCTGCATCCTGATGCTGATGGAGACCCCAAAGAACACTCCCATGAATTCAAACACACATTGGTCCCTATAGCAGGGGCTATAGCATTCCCTGTGGCCAGACCCTATTCTGCCATGCACCCTTAAGAAAGGGAACTTCCCCAAACAGCAGCCAGGCTCAATCATTCAGGGATGTGCATCTCTGTCATGCTTAAACCTCACAGGTCTGAAGCCACATTTGGAGCACGAGGATGTACTTGGTAGTACTGCAACCATTGCAAAAAGAAGGTTAACTTGCTAATTTTCCTCTCTCTTAGAAAAACCCCACTTTGTATGGGAGCTAAACAAAGTAAGGACACATTAAAAATAGGCTTACATTGAAACCCTGAGCAAAGCTGTTGTATGTAATCATTTGTCACCTCAGGGATTTAAATGGCACAATGTATTCATTCCCCAAACACTTAAATGGGATTTAGCAGAAGTGTCTTCAAGGGCATCAGCATTCAGAGAACACTTGCATAGTGATGCACTGAAGTCATGAGCCATTGCCTGTATCTGAAGGCCACGGTGCAGCCCCGATCATCAGAACCAAACAGCATTCGAAATGAACATCACACTGAATTTTCCCAGCACCTCTTTGCTGTGCAGGGCCAGTGCAGGGCCACATCCACAGGGCTTGAGCAGGGAGCAAAGCCTTCCAGACCAGCAAGTTTGCTAAAGTACCAATTGAAACAGAGTGAGGAAAGCCCCCCATTGCGCATCTTCACACCCGCTGTAAGCACCCCATCCACTCTCAGCACTGCACGCACTGGGGAGCCCAGTGGCGTCACTGGCACTCACCAGCCTATGCCCTCCTCCGGGTTGTCGAGCAGGACACGGACGATGTACAGGAGGCAGGTGAGCAGCTTCAGGGAGAAGTTGAAGAGCCGGATCCTCAGGCCTGCGGCAGGGAGAGCACAGCGTGGGCCAGGCAGCACAGCCTGGGCACCCCACAGCACAGCCCCACGCACCGCAGGACCCCACTGAGCCCCATGGGAGCACACAAACATTGCTCATGCTTTGCATCATACCCAGTGTCAGCCAGGAGACCAACAGAGCCATAAATAACCATGAGTCAGCTCCTTGCTGACCCCAATAGATGTGAGACACAAAGGAGGAGCTGCTGGAGTGTATCCCCCTCATTAGCAAGCATCCATTAAAAAGCATCAGACAGCAGGGCCAGGGCCCCACTCTGCTCCCAGCTTGCATGAGGGATGGCGAGCAAAAGCTGCTGCTTTATCCACAATCCATCTCCAGCCAGTTCATCGGGTTGTTACTCAAATTACAAGTGAGAAATTCATCACGTTTTCATTCAAAACTTCCCCGTGGGCACCCCGTTGCCTGCGCTCCAGCTCTTCACCGATGCAGGGCGGAAAGGAAAATGTGAATTTGTAAATTAAGGAGCAGACTCCCTCCAGACAGCTAATGACAGCTCGGAGAAAGGCAATAACAACACCATTAGTCAAGTGGAGGCTAATCTGCAGCGAGTGGGTAACTCACAGCCTGCCTCGGCTGCCCCATAGCCACTGACCTCCTTGCATCATTGGCATCACAATGGGGATGTTTGCTCCCTGACCCCCTCCCAGGCACCTCTCAACACCCATCCTGCTCCTGGCAATTTGTCCCAACTGGATTCCATGCTGTGGATATCTCCAGTGCACAAAGGTGGCAATCAGCATCCCCGTGCAACCACATCCCTCAAACCATGTTGGCCAACACCCAACAGAAAGGCCAACAGGGCTGAGGACACCCTGGTTAACAGCCACCAGCAGATGGCAATGGCTTCTCATCCCGCAGGGACAGAGCCTGGCTCTCGCAGCTGGGGCAGGGTTTGGGTTCTCCCATCAGATGCTCACTGCACACACGGAGCACTCACTGGATCGCTGGTTTTTGATGAAGAAGAGCTTCAGCCGCTCCTTGAAGGTGTTTTCATTCACATAGAACTCGACCTGCACCCTGTGGGGGAAGCACCAGAGGAGCATGTCAGTGGGGTGGGCAGGTTGGACCCGGAGCCCCCCAGGAACCCCATCTCCCCATCCCAGCTGAGTGACCCCCCCCGAACAGCCCACAGCAGATCCCAGGCTCCACAATACCAAATCACTGTTACCACCAGCCATGAACACCAAGACGTGGTGCATCAATGACTACTAAGGATGCAGATGTGACCCATGGGCCAGGTATCCTTTGGGCTGAGGGCTTGGCTTTCATTCACAGGCAATGAGCTGGCATCAGACTTGCAGACTTCTCCTTTCCCACGTGCTTTACAGCATTCAAAGCCTCTCAGAAAAGTGGAGCAGTCTCCCCAGCAATGTTCAATCTGCTCCAAGCCCCTGTGGCTGCATCAGACCAGGAACCAGTGAGGGTGATGTTCCCTGGTACACCCATGCCCTGGCTCTGCCCAGGTGGGAGCAGCATTCAGCATTGAAGCTGTTAAACAACAAATCTGAGCTAAAAGGAGAAAAAAACCACCCTTTGTTGCTAAGAAACCACATTTGGCCATTCCAGAAAAACCCAGGAGCTGACAACCAACTCCAAACATCACTTGGCATTGGGAGCTGCTGGTGACTTGTGGCACAGGAACAACACCACGGTGAGAGCCACACGATGGGGCACTGCCCAGAAACCAGCAGCGAGGAGCCACAGGTGAAGCTGAACATGGCTCATCCACCATTGTGACCTTCTTCATCTTCAGCTGCTCCAGTCTCCAGCACTGACACCCATATGCTTCCCTCCTGCTGGTCCCCACATGCCGGGTGGATGCTCATGGCTGGGGAAAGCCTCACCAAGGCTGCAGGTTCCTCCCAATGGATCTCAGCAGGGTCTGGGATCAAGCATACCCAGATTAATGGTGTTCAGGCCAACCTGGTCCTGTTCAGCTCGTTTGCCACCTCCTCTCCTATTACTTTACAAATGCCTTAGGCAAACTCACTTGTTCATCCTAGGCAGGGTTATAAATTACACTCCTGTCTGCTAAGTGCAGGCAGAAAGGGAATGTTTCCTGATGTCTCAGCTTCAGACTCTGAGCAAGACAAAGTCTGCTCATTACTGTTACAGCTGATAATGGAGTTAAATGCAATATAAATTAGCCATTATTCCCCCTATTTCACTGTATTCAACAAGTCTCTGAAGTAAGTGCTACTATTATTGCTATGTTTTTAATTGCTTGGAAGAGGTCATCAAGATCTCATTAATCAGGCCTATTACCAAGCCAAGGCATAGACCAGTGTGAGCCCATTCACAGTGGCGGTCATTAAACCTACCACTCCCTTTCATTTCTCCTGTGCAGCCCCCATGCACACACGGTGCTGGCTCCAGCCACGCGTGCTGCCTGGCACACAACATGGATTGGGATTTACTGGAAAGCAGCTGCTACTCGCTCTGACAGCAGAGGGATAAGCAGGTATGTACTGTGGATGCATGAGGAGCTGCAGATTGGGAAGGGGCTTTAGGACACCCTCATCGCTCCGGGGATTCAGGTCCTGGTACCCACCGGTGACCGCTGGCATGTCACAGCCAAGCTGACAGCTCCTGGGGACACCGACTGGTGTGTAAAAAGCACAGCACATGCTTGAGAGCTCCTCAGAGCTTCTTGTGGAGTTGCTTATCAGGTGGGAAAGTCAGACTTGATCTGAAGAGCCTGGGCTTCAGCATCTCCCTAATGCTGCTGGGGCAGCTACAGCCTGAGGGGTCAGTGATGCAGACCCATCTCTGGCTCTGGAGCTGCTGCAGGCAGAGCCCAGGGGCTCTATGCTGTGCAGTCACCTTGTCCTCATTGACAGTGCTGGAGAGGAAAGAAAGCAGGAGCCTTACCAGGGAAGCAAACACTGCATGTCCTCCACAGACCCTGTGCCCTGCCTGGGACCCTTGGCAGGATGTCACCCACCGAGCAGCTCCGTACCACAGGTGACAACAACCAACAGTGGGGCACTCACCAACCTCTGTTAAGACATTTGGCATCTGTGCTGGTCACGATGCCAAGAGGAAGGATGCCCAGGTACAGCTGGCAGCACTCAGCAACCCCCAGCAGGACATTGCACAGCATCCAGTGAAGAAAACGCTTCACACAAATGCACCAGTGGCAGCAGCAGCTGTGGGGCTTGCCCAAGAGCACACCTCACCCCAAACATCCCTGGCAGCCCCACAAACGGGAGCTGAGCCTGCATCTCCCCTGCAGCCCTGATGCTGGCAGGGACCAGACAGCACCAGGGGCCTTTGCATGGAACCCAGCGCCTGCTCCGCAGCCAGTCCTGCTGGCACAAGAAGGGAGCAGGGAGGAGGGTGAGCAACCACAGGGACCTTGTGGCCAAGAAGGCCAATGGCATCCTGGGGTGTATTAGAAGGGGGGTGGTTAGTAGGTCGAGAGAGGTCCTCCTTCCCCTCTACTCTGCCCTGGTGAGACCTCATCTGGAATATTGTGTCCAGTTCTGGGCCCCTCAGTTTAAGAAGGACAGGGACCTGCTGGAGAGAGTCCAGCGCAGGGCAACTGAGATGATGAAGGGAGTGGAGCATCTCCCTTATGAGGAAAGACTGAGGGAGCTGGGTCTCTGTAGTTTGGAGAAGAGGAGATTGAGGGGTGACCTTATTAGTGTATATAAATATATAAAGGGGGAGTGTCACGAGGATGGAGCCAGGCTCTTCTCAGTGGCAAACAATGAAAGGACAAGGGGCAATGGGTACAAACTGGAACACAAGAGGTTCCACTTAAACTTAAGAAGAAACTTCTTCTCAGTGAGGGTGACGGAACACTGGAACAGGGAGGTTGTGGAGTCTCCTTCTCTGGAGACATTCAAAACCAGCCTGGACACGCTCCTGTGTAACCTTATCTAGGTGTTCCTGCTCCAGCAGGGGGATTAGACTAGATGATCTTATGAGGTCCCTTCCAATCTCTAGCATGCTGTGATGCTGTGATGCTGTGATACTGTGACCACACACACTGAGGAGTGAAGCAAGAGGATTTATGAGCTTTGGCTCAACTAGCACGATGCCTGAGGAGCAAGCAGCCATAACTGCAGAGCTTCATAAGCACAGCTTTAACACACAGTAAAACTAATAATTTCCAAAGCCGGGTTTGGCAAATGATTTATCTGAGCCAGGGCATAAATCAGCTGCCCCAGCTCCTCACAGCACTGCACACACAAGCTCATTGCTCCTTCTCCTTATTAAAAATGTCCAGAAATGCTAAGAACTGGCCTTCAGCTCCGTCATGAGCTCTGGGCGCTCCATTCATCAGAGTCCCTGAGGATTAAATGCATTGAGGAGAGGGAGACTCGAGGGAGCACGATTCCTCTCCCAGACGTTCGCCTCCGTATCAAAGGAACAAACAGCAATATAAATCTCTGTCGCCAGACAGATGGTTTGCTGATCTGGAGCGCCGCAGCCCACCTTGAGACTATGAATATAAGCACTGATGGATAAAAGAACTGAATGATTAGAAGAGATCTAACTTTTTATGACAAAGCGGCCCACGTATTCATCCATCTTAATGGCTGCAGGAAGAAGAAACATTTGGAAAGCAACTGAAGCAGGTCATGGGGAGGGGGAAGGGGGTGTTTATCAGTGCAAAGAGATGAAGGAACAAGAGAAAGTAGGAAGAACATGTTCCTGTGCAGACAACCTGCCCTTGGTGCTAAGCGGGCTGAGCCCCTGGACCTGAATGGGTGTCTACAGCCATGGCCCTACCAATGCCCTGCTGAGGGTGACCATCCCATAGGGCTTCTGTCTGCAGGAGGAGGGAGCGCAGAGCAAGGGCTCAGCATGATGGGGACCAGGGAGCTGCCGTGGTCCAGCACCAGCACCCGCTCTGCAGATGTTAAGCCAAGTTAAGCCAACACCTCAGAGCTGAATGAGTGATGGCTTTCACCAGGCAGTAGCAACCACCCAGAAGTATCAAAGCTGCTCTATTTCCAGCTGAGGGAAAGAGATGATACCATCTAAAACATACCCTTTAATTTAGTTGTCAAGAAATTAACTTCAAAAGAAAATCAACTGTGTTAACACCCTAAAGCACACACCCCGACAGGCTCTGCCTTCAGAGCAGCTCAGACAAACTGGTCCATTCAAGCTGTCCCCTCCCTGCTGCCAGGGCTGAGCATCCCTCCTGACAGCAGAGCACCCATTCTGACAGCAGAGCATCCCTCCCAGCGGCTGAGCATCCCTCCTGACAACCGGGCAGTGTGGAGTCAGCCCAGCCCAGGCAGCGCCAAGGGGCACAGGCTCTGCAGGAAGGGAGCAGGTATCATCCCATTCCCCCTGCTTCGTGCTGGCTGACCCCTCCAGGCCACACAGATAATCATCACAGTACAAGTCTGGTTACAAGCCCTCTGCTTGGAAGTGTAATTACCGCTATTACGCGCTTCATAACGCCTGAGCAATTTCATCTTTGCTCTGTTATTTATTGTACTTTTTAAATCTAGGATTAGGGGCAATTTGTTGTAAGATGATGAGATCCAACAAAAAGACAGAATAGTTTGTTCAGAAAAGTGCAGGATGCAAGACCAGGATGAGCACAAGACAAGAAAAAACTTGGCATCTCTCTGCAGCCCCAGTCCTTGTTCTCACACTCTGGTTGGGTGGGAAATGCTGTTCTTGTCCCAGGAAATTTCTCAAGAAACTTCATCATGTAGTGAGATGTAAAAAAAGACTCTGCTGAGATATTTTTTGGGGGAAAAAATACCAAAAAAAAAAACCCCTAAGAAACCAAAAATAACCCAGAAATCTCTGCAATCTGGTGGGTGCCATCACCCACCCCTGCCAAGGCAGCACAGCCTCAAGTGAGATCCCGCTTCATCCCAGCGCTCCAGCTCAGCCCAGAGGACAGCTCCGTATGCTCCATGCAAAACCACATGGATCAAATACATGAGGAATTTTGGCTGTGCCCAAGTCTGGAATTAATGAGATGGCCTGGGGGGTTCATCAGGGATGGGCTGTGGGTACCAGGTGCAGCTTGAGGCTCAGACACCTGCTGGTGACAAGCACACAAACTACCCAGGCTGGTCTCCAGCAGCTGCCAACCCTCCTGACCTCCTTCAGAGATGCTCGCTGCTTTTTTCCACCTTTCCTTAATGGCAATTTTCTACCTTTCCTAATGGCAACAAGCATTTGGGTACTGAAGCCACAGCGAGACGAATGACACCAAGCAAGCTTTGCCTATTGAGCACCACCTCCAGAATCTATGTGTTTACCATCCTCAACCTCTCCAGAGGATGCGGGACAGCTACAGCTCTTCCCACCGGAGCTCCCAGCTCACCGGTGCAATGAGCTGCTCCCGGTGCATGTTTTGAGATGGGAAGTGGGAATAGTACAGCTGTGAGCGCAGAGCAAACCCAGGTGCCTGCCAAAGTGAAAACAGGGAACAGGCTGCCCCCACGCTCAATAAGCAGTAATTGAACAATTACTCAAAGGAGGAGGGTTGTGGGTTTCAGCAAGGCTCTACTGGCTCGGCGCTGGTGAGCGTGCAAGAAAGCAGCTTCAGAACTGCACAGGGATGCACAGCTCCTGGGGGGACATCTCCTGTGCATCCCCACTGTCCCTGCATCCCCCCCATGCACCGTGCGGGACCAGCCACAACAGGGGCTCTGACAATCCCCATACATCCTGGAAGCATCGAGCCTCAAGGTGCTCAGCTGGCCCCACATCAGCCTCTCACAGGCACCACTGCAGCCCTGCAGGATCCAGGCTCCCGGTCAGGCTGCCTGGGTGACCCATCCGGACTGATGCCACAGCTCCCACAGAGGCAGGGATGAGTTTGCTGTGCTGCTCGGGCTCTGGGCAGAGCACATGCAACTTGAGACCCACACCGATGGGTACCCTGCACTGGGAACCAGGCTGCTGTGGCACATGTTGCCCCAGGGCCAGCACAGAAACTTCTTTCTTTTACTGTGGGAATAGAAGGAGGGAAAAAAGCCTCTCCTGCTTTATTACGGAGTGATTCTTGCCCAAAGAAAGGAGCAATAACCCCTCTGCAGCAAATTAAACACAGTGGGATGCAGGTAATGGCATCCTGGCTCCAGCACTAACACCGCAGTTTGATGTTTTGGGGATGAAAAGCAAGCTCCAAGCAGCCACTTGTGGAAAAACTCTGCCCAAGACCACTCTTGGCTTCACACAAGGGCTCTGCTGAGCTGGGACACAGGCAGGGGCCAACCCAGGCACACACTGCGGGAAAGGCTTCATGAACCTGTGCTGATAGAAAAGAAATCTGCCGCTGGACTTCTTTTTCCTATCTTATTAGGGAGGATATTGCGCTGGAAATGGGATTTTTATCAATTCCCTGTTCCCTGGAGGCAGCGATAATCCCTCTCCAACCGCATGCAGCAGGTACAGAGCTCATTTCAGGCACCAAACAAAGCACTGGAGGTTCCATAGGCTGAAGATCTCCCCATGCAAATGCCCTCAATACCTAAGAGCAAGTGGTGGAGATGCACAGCAGGGCCAGCAGCACAGCAATGACCCAGCAGCACCCTGCACTCCCGAAAACATGGGTTTGGCTCTGGGATGAAGCAGGACACGCTGCTCCATCCCAGGCTGCCCCAGGCTGGGAGCCTTAGCTCAGGGCTTCAGTAAAGGAGATTACAACCCAGGAAGAGGAGAAGCAACGGTAACACACTGCTTTGTTTGCCTTATTGTGTCACAACATTGGAGATTGAAACTCATGAGTCTGCTCCTATAATTGCTTCTGCTGATGAATCTCGATTGTTTAATTAGGGTCTGTGCATGGAGCTCATCGTTAATGGGTAATCACCAATTTGCTGCCAAAGATATCACTTCCTCCCCAAGAAACCTGTGTGTCTCTGAGTGCACAGCCCTCCCCAGGGTGGGAACCATTGCTCTCTCAGAAGGGTTTGCTGGTGCCATGCACAACTCCTTGGTGCCAAGAGCAGTGAAGGATGAATCTCATGCTCATCAGCTCCCTGAAAAGCAGAACAATCTATGACCAAGGCCAACCACTAGCCTTGGCAGCAGATACTGCCCACAACAGAATCACAGAATTGTCTGGGTTGGAAGGGACCATTGAAGGTCATCCAGGCCAACCCCGATGGGGGCATCTTCAACTGCACCAGGTTGCTCTGACCCATATCCAGCCCGGCCTGGAATGTCTCATCTACCAATACTTGGCTCACCGGACACCATGCACGCATGCACCACACAAACACCCCAAGCTGGAAGAGGTTTTCACTCTCTGGAGAGCACAGTTGGCTTTCCCCCGATGGAGCAGTGCCGGTGGTGCCGCAGCAGCCCTCATCCCCTCCCCGCAGCGCCGGCGCGGGGCAACGCATGCGGTGCACTTACTGTGAGAAGGAGGAATCCACGCTGAAGTCCTCGGCGTGAGGCCTACAGAGCGAGAGCATCACAGGAGGTGAGGGAACGTACAGCTGCCAGGCAGGAACACAGGGAATGCCAGCGCCGAAGGGACAAGCGACTGCCCGAGTGCTCGGCCAGGGGTCGATCCGTGCCTGGGATATGTCCCCACTGAGGTCCCAGTGATGCTCTGGTGGCTTTGCCTCTTTACGGACTCAGCTCCATGGATAAAAACCTTTTATGCCTTTTTTCCTTTCTATGTTTCTTTTAATGAGCCTCACACTCTGCATCGCTGCTCTGTCTCAAATCAGTGTCACACTTTGTACAGAGAAATCAGATTTTGAAAGGTGCTGGTTGGGGTGTTTTTAGGAAGCTAACATTGTGTTTCTCCTACGCACACCTTCACAGAGCTGGTTCTACAGACACAGGTGATCACCAGAGAAGGGATAACAAACTAAGAGAATAGAAAGGAATGATGAGGGTAACATGGGGGGTCACAGGAGGGGGAGGAAGAAGAACACAGAGATGTACAAGAGCAGTGGGAGGGGAAGGGGCTGTGCTCGTGTACTGTACATCCCACAGGCACGCAGACACACAGCAGCACAGTGCTATGAAACAAAGCAATTCCAGCTGCGAAGGAAAAATACCTGTTTGCACAAATGATGCTCTCTTCAAGACACATCATCCCCATCGAGGACCATGGTCCCCATCACCATCAATGACCACGGTCCCCATCACCACTGGTGCTAGCTGGGACTGCCCGAGTCCTGAGCCCATCCCTGCCTCCCAGTGCCCAGCAGTGCCGCGCTCTCTCCTGTCCTTATTTAACATGAGTCAGGGTAAATGAGACATATAATCAAAGCACAGGGGTCAGCTGCAGCACAGGAAGGCTTTCTCTTTTATTTTCCTTTGTGCTTTATGAGTCCACAGCACTCCAGCATAGCTCAAGCTAAATAAAAGCAATAAATTCACATTTCAATTAAAACACGAGTCCAAAGGAAAGCTAATTCATCCCTCAGCTGCAAGGCACACACAGCAGCCTCCCCGTGACATGATTTACTTTGCTACTACTCTTCATTTATTATCTGAGAAGGCTGCAGGGAGGCGCTCATCACCCCAAAGCTGAAACGCCTGCAGAGAGCACAGGCTGTGCCTATGGAGCCGCCATCCCAGGGGACACCATCAGCAGGTTCCCCCCCAGCATCAGACCCAGGAGACCTGTGGGAGATGATGGGGCCTTGAAGGAGGGAGACAAGGGAGCTGGTGTGGGATGAGGAGGTGCTTCTGTCCAGACAAGAGGCTCCAATGCAGCCCAAGAGGCTTCTCTGCCACCAAGGAGCCAAAGTGCTCCTTCAAGCAGCCCAGCACCCCTGGTGCTGCTCACCCAGCTTTGCCCACAAATAATCCACATGAAAAAGAAAGCCAATGACCTCCCATCCTCATAGAATCATGGAATAGTTTGGGTTGGAAGGGGATCTAAACATCATCTAGCTCAATCCCATGCCATAGGCAGGGACACCTTCCACTAGAGCAGGTTGCTCCAAGCCCCATCCAACCTGGCCTTAATGTATGGGAATAAAGCTCAAACTAGGTTTATTAATAAAACCTAGTTTTTATGAAGGAGGTTGAGTCCTCCAATCACTTCCCCCCTGCCCTGCTGATTGTTATCTTGCTTGTGCACCCATCACAGAGCAGTAAGGCAGTTCATACCCCAGTGATCTCCGTGCCCCCATCCCAGGGACAACAAGCCCCAGGTGGGTCATCATCCCATTTATTAATGACAAAGAACACAGGCTTCCTTCAGCTGCAAACCAGAGGCAAGCGCAGGCCTGGGAAGGAGCTGGCCAGCTCAGCCTCCCTCCTGCCAAATTGGATTAGCACACATTAGCAGCAGGGGCTGCGCGAGCCCCTCCACTCGTGTTTCATTTTGCACAGGAGCTTTTAATGCCTTGCAGAGGTGTTTATGGGAAAGAAACAGCAAATTATTTGATTTTCTCCTAATACACTGCCAGCTGGCAACCAGGAGCGCTGCACAAACAAGGGCTCATTTTGGCTGCAGGTCCCCAAGGTAGAAGAACACTCCTGAAAACCAAACAGCAACGGCACATTTAATCATACACTCACAACGGGAGTAAACACCTCACTCACAAAAAGGCACCATGAATAAAAGGGACTCCAAAGTGATGGACAGGCCATAAACCTCATCAATAGCAGCTTTGATCACTCTGTGCTATGGTTAAAGTACATGTGATGAAAAGGTGCTCTTGGCTTCCAAATGAATGAACTGATCAGAGGGGGAAGAAGCAACCCTGGGATGCTGCACTGAAACCTCTCCTCCTTCCCACCAGGCACCCAAATTCTCATAAACAGTCTGATTGCTGAGAAAATAAGGCATTTTTTTTTTTGAAGAAACCTAAAAATCACCCCAAATCTCACCTGAAAAAGCTGCTTTCCTGGTAACAAAAACTTTGTAGAAGTGCAAGCCTGAGCAGCGCTGCCAACCCAGCTCCAGAGCGGCTGTGCAAGCATCCTCCCTCCAGTGCTCCTCAAGCATCCTCCCTCCAGTGCTCCTCAAGCATCCTCCCTCCAGTGCTCCTCATCAGCTCCACCCCAGCCTTTGTGCACTTGTCTGCAGTGTCACTTACCTGGCAGTTACTCCAGGTTTCCTGCTAGAGAGGATTCGCACAATGGCACGAACCCTTTTGTGCACAGTCTCCCTTGGAAGGAAAGAGTAGATTTACAATACACAGAATTAAAGCTATTTAACAGAGCCACAAAGGTTATGCTGGCTTTTAATACACTTGAAATAATCTACTTAAAAGTCACTTTCTTATTTCATCCAGATCTGCCTCCCTGAGCATCCCTGTGCAGACAAACCTCAACTCATCTCATTGCTCCCATGGAAGATAACTACATCACAGGCACTGAGCCCAACCTCCCTGTCCAGAGTCCATGGTCTGGGAGAGAAGTGCTGCACCTGGACCTCTAACCATTAAACCAAGACACTTGGCTCCTGGCTGGCAGCCCGCCTGTACCAGGGTGCTGTGGGATCTGGGTGGCATTTATCCCATCTGCCTCAGGCAGATAATTTGAGGTTAAATACTGTCCCTGTGGTTCACAGAATGGTTTGGGTTGAAGGGACCTTAAAGCTCCTCCAGCTCCAACCCCTGCCACAGGCAGGGACCCCTTCCACTGGCGCAGCTTGCTCCAAGCCCCTGTGTCCAACCTGGCCTTGAGCACTGCCAGGGATGGGGCAGCCACAGCTTCTCTGGGCATTTCAAGTGCTCCAAGATGCTCAGATGGAGAAGAGAGCAGCAAAGCACAGCAGCAGCTCAAGCTGAGCTCCCTCCCAGTGAACTCCCTGCCAGCTCCGTGCCCTCACTGCTCTCTCCTGACTTTTCTGGGAGGTATTTTGGCAAATGAAAGGTATTAAAAATTCACATCTGGTCCTGCATTCCCCATTCAATTTACAGCCATCGTTTCCAAGCCAAGAAAAGAAATTACCCTTCACTAAAAGCCCCTGGGAGTTACAAAGGCACAAGTAATGACCTGCCAACACCACACTTGGCTTCAGGTTGCTAAAGGACCACTTGCAAGTTTCAGAGGCATTTTGAGACCTGGGGCTAAAGGGCACTGCATCCTGCATCCCAGAGGATAGAGCCCTCAAACTAAATACTGTTTAGCCTTCAGTCTCAAAACATCTCCAAGAGAGGGGCAAGGCAGGGGGTTAAAGAGAACTGAGCAATGTAATTGGGAAGGGTACCCAAAGCAGTGTTCATCCTCTAAGACAGGAGATGCACCACGGTTCCTACCATATTGACAGTGAGAAACTCATCCCCCAAAAATAGCCTGATGTGAGAAGGACAGATGGGAGGAGATGAAAAAAGAAAGCGAAGAGGGGGAGAGGAGGAACGAGCAAGAGGAAGGGGAAAGGGAGATGAAGACGCACGCATCCTGCTTGCAAACACAGGGCTGCCCATCTCCCTGCGTGGAGCAGGGATGACCCCAGGGATGCGACTCCAGCTCTAAGCACCCCCAGTCTGGAGGAAGCCCATAAAAGCCCCCGACTGCTCCAGCACACACTGAAGCTGAAGAAGAGGCACATGAAGAAACCCCCCCCATCACTGGCACGGGAGATGCCGTGCAGGCAGGCAGCGTGCGGGCAGTGCGAGCGCGGCTGCCTCCTCCCCAGCAGGCAGCACATCAAGGTGATGTGAGTCACAGAGGCGGTTTTCCTCGGCATCCCTCTGCAAAATCTACATCACAACGGATATAAAGTTTAGAAACAAACAAGGAACGGTGCCAAACCCCAGCGCTTCCCGCTGCAGCAGACGCACAGCCCAGTGCCCGGCAGCTCCCGGCGCTGCCTGCAATTACCTGCCGGCAAGTTTTGGCTCTCCCAGAGGAGGAGGTGCTGCCAAGGCTGGGCACAGGGCTCCTGGGCAGAAAGGCCCTGCAGATGCTGAGGCAGCTCTAAGGCATCATTCCTAATGAGCTCAATGAGTCGCTGCGGTCCTGAGCCTTGCAGAGGAAGCATGAGCTTGGAGATCGGGCTGCAAGACCCTCCTGTACCACAGTCCCACATCACCCAATGGCTGGTGGCAGCATCCTGCTCTTACCGCAACGGGAAAGCCTTCACCAGGGGAGGAGGAAGGGGCAAATCCCCATGGCCTGATGGGACCTGATGGAAATGAGCAACCTAAAATAGAGCAAAAGCCCAAATCTGTGTTTTGAGTGCAGGAATCCTTAGCTTAGGTGCTTCGTCTGCATATCAGCACCTATATAGGGCACTGAGATTTTCAGCGGTGCTGGCATCTCACCAGCAGCCGTGGGAGGAGCCTTCAGGCTTCCAAAACTCAGCCTGCTCCCCTCAGGAGGCTGCTACGGTGCTGCCAGCTTGGGGATGCAAACACGTTCTGCCAAAGGGTGCCTGGGGACAGGGATTTGAGGGATGGGGACCACACATACAGGACCAGCCACTGACATGCATCCAAAACGTGCAGGAGGGAGCTCAGAGCTGAGCCCTGGGGGGG